TCAGCGGAATGATAATATGTTACGAACGTATGATGAAGCAGTTTTAAATCGACGTTCCCGTTACTTAATATTTGCTCGACAGATGGTTTTAACTGGAGAATAAAAAATAGATACGTTATCGGGGTTAGTCGAAAGATAAGGTAGTTTCGAAACAACCGGAGAAGGGGGATGATAAAGGCTGGTAAGTTTGACTCGTTCGAGGAAAGCGAGAAGGAGCCAGGGAGGTCGTTGGCGGTGTCGCGAGCAGACGCAGCCTCCAGAGTTAAAGTTTCCCCGACGATGACCGGGAACCGTCGTCGATAGGACCGGGGGGAAAGGAGTGTTTTACGATAAAACTGCTCAGATCCAATTTATTTGACGCGCGTAGAACTGGGTCGTTTCCTGACCATCGTTCCTTCCCGTTTCGTCCATCGGGATACCCTTTTCGCTTGCACGCTCACCGGATCAGACGCGTGTATATTTTCGGTTAATGGTGAACGCCACGCCGCCGCCGCAGCACCGCGCCGTTCTCCATCACGGAGCATTTGGCCCAGCGCAAATAAATCAAATGGAAATCGAATAGATCTCTGGCACGGACCGCGGGTAAAGCTAAAGTTCAAACGGAAGTCGCGGATACTTAATTAATTCGTTTCTTTCAACGCGTAAAAAAGGCTGAGTTAACGGGAGGGTGTGATAAAGCGCGGCTGATTTATACGGCAACTTAGTGTCCGCGGATAGTCCGTATGAAATTACGAACGGTAGGAAGCTACCGTGACATTGACTAATATCGGAGGTGGGAAGCCTTTTGATTAAGGGCGTCTTTACACTTTGCCGCGACCTCGGCAAGGATCAACGACCGAGTGTACCACCGATGACGATTATTTCTCGGATTTCCCGTGGAACCTACCGCCGATGATAGGACCGTTCGACTCGGAGTAAATCTTCGCATCGGAGAAATATCGCGGTAAAGAAAAAAAGAATCTATGATCTGCTTCTCCAGTTATAAATTTGATTCGATGAAAATAAACACGCGAATGGAGTTGGTCTGATAATGAAAATTTATTAATTAAAAACTGCTATACAAATTTCGAACTAGCAATAACTTTTATGCAAACTGTATCAATTATAAAAACTGTTCATACGCGGAAATTGGAATGGCGCGAAACGATTCGGCTTCGAAGACGACACGGAAGAGAGGTAAAATCGTTGATAATCGTTTGTCCGCTAATTAGTCTGGTGCGGGCCGGCCGTGCCGCTTTGTGCCCGGCGCGTTTACCTATCGCGAAATTAATTTCTGCCGGTCGAGTGTCTCGAAAAATTGCGCATGGTTTGCGCGGTCGGAATCACGGGACGGGAAAACGCATTATCCAAATCGAATGGGTGGTCGCACGCGCTCGTGTCAGGTGCCTTCTAATTAATTGTCTTGCAGTCGTCCGCGTCGCTGACAGGATAAACAATTATCGAGCGGTGCGCACTACTACCGTTATCATCTCCCTCGAACCTCTTTGTTTCCTTTTTCATTTTCATCGGTAACGAGGCGCATTCCATTCGTTTTTCGCTCTCGACGAATTTTGCGTAAAGGCAATTCATAACAAAGGACATACAATGGTTTGACATTCATTAAAATGAAAATCTACTTAAGGATGTATTGGCTATATAGTCAATACCAAATGTTGATGTACCTTAGAAAAACGCATTTCCTGTAATTAAAAATAGTGCACTTTTCTTGTAATTTCGATATTTAATGAGTTAAGTATGATTATTTAGCATTTTATTGATGTTGACAAAATCCGACCATCCCACCGTCGAAATGGCGAACTTTTGGAAAAAAATTTCGTTTTTCCTCAATAACTCCTAAACCCTTGGAGATACGGGAAAATTGCATAGGACCTTTCTTGTAGAGGACAACGAGATCTATAATTTCTGTATAAAATTTTTTCGCTAGCATTAATAG